AGATCGTCCCGTCGTGAATCGTCCCGTACGAATCGATCCAACATCCAGCAACCGACCTCAGCGAGGTTGATCTGCACTCGGGGCGCACTCGACCAGAGCAACTCTGGACGATTAGGTGTTATTTTGGTATCCACACAACAGTGCTGCATCACATTGAAACATGCGGCTGCAAGATATGCTTGACTCATTTGCTACAACGGCACCATCATACGGGTGACGACCTTGTAAACGGATCGGGCGTTGTAGCGATAGACTCCTCAACATCCCCCCCATCGATGCTTCAAGTGCATGCTCAGTTCTTTCATGATGGAAACCACTGCACTACAGAGATTACGAAATTGCGAGGTTCGTGGCAGGATCAGTGCATTCGCTTTCTATTCACAAAGATCAACAAAAGTTCGCACACCGAACGATGCCGAACGACAAAACACACCTGAGGCAAACACCCTTGGTAAAGTCATTCAAGCAGGTGTTAGCGATAAGGTGATCAAGCACATGGCGACCTTGGCCATCATCAATGCTGGATGCACAGTGGGATTCCTGGATCGTTGAGCAGCCAAGAGACGTGTCGATCAGGACCACCCACCAGGCCAAATTCTACCATACTCCGAGGCATGAAGTATAACGTCTAATCCAATCACTTTTGCATTGTCAACGGCTTGTCCACATCGTTCAGGACCTTCTAAAAGCAGGGATTGCCGCCAGGGTAGTAACAGGTAGCACACGTGCCTCAACTAGGTTTGGCCTTGATCGCAGTGGTTTTTGTGGTCGTGCTCAGCTGTGGGGCAGTCAGTGCCGATGAAGGGGTCAGCCATCGGGTGGGTCCAAGTTGGGGCGGGGATTGTATTTATGGGGGAGCAGTCGAGGAGGTGCAAAAGTTGGTGCAGATGACCGAGACATCGTCGTGCTGAATGTTGCTGCAGGGGACACAGGGCCAGTGAACACAGCGACTTACTTGACAAATGGGGTCATTTAGATTTGTTCCCCGTTGGCTCATATCCCCGATGTCGATACGACAAAGCCGCTTCCAGCCACTTCGACCGTCAACGCGGGCTGTTGACCTTTCGGTAGTGGTTAGTTGTCAAAGTAACTAGTTGTACGTGAAGGACGGTCCCGCTGACGTTTGGGTCGAGCATGACCCTATCGCTCCTTGGACTCGTGTACCGAAGAGAGGTGAATCGTTCCGTTCCCAATTGGGAGCTTCGTATCGTCGTGGGGTATTCCCGTTGAGACCGAATACGAGTCGACGTCCATGAAGCAAGCGACTTCATCTCGGTGTGATTCATGGATCGATCCCTCGGGTTTCAGGCTCGCACACGGTGTATGGACGAGGGTACGACAGACCAAGGGCCAGGGACGTCAGGGCCATGCAAAACAACGGTCAGTTCCGGTTCAAGTCGACTTGGTTCTCATCCTTCTGTTGGAATCGGTGCCATTCCAGAAAAAAATGTACCCGGCGATGTTAACTACGGGCACAAACACGAAATCGTACGCCTCTGCGTCGGTTGGTTCATGGCGACAATGCCGTCCAGGACAAACGTCATTGTATATCCGGTCGACGACAAGGCAATCCAAAAGCAGAAGGGTTTTGAAATGCCGTGTTTCTGCAGCCGCGTTTTGACTGCCTGCGACCAGACAGCAATATCGGTCGAACACTTGCATGCACCTGACGATCGAACTACACGACGGAATGACTTCTCCCTGCAGTGCGACAAATTTTGAGTGCGGCAACGTAGCAGTGTTTCAATTGTCAAACAAGTGGGAAATATCCTCGTCAATTCGACGTCGAACCTCCACTATGTCTGACGATGCCACGAACCATTGACGCCAAGGAGGGTTGACTCGTCGCGGATGTCCTCTTCTTCTTGGACGCCCGCAGCTTGTTAAACTTCATCACGCTAAACTTGAAAATGGACGCGTACTCTTCCTTGGACACAGTTTGCACCTTTTGGCACACGAGCAAGTAGTAGACGGTGAGCACGGCGACGAACCCGATCGTGGACAGGATGGCAATGCCGTCGTCGCCCTGGAACCCCCCGGCAATCGACACGAACACCAAGAAGAACACGACAAACACGTAGTACGCGCCGGTGAGCCCGTATGGACTCTTGTACCCCTTCGTGTCGATCTTGTACGACGTGCGCAGCATGACAAAGCCCAGTGTCTGGCCGGCATAGCACAGCGTCCCCGCGACGATCGAGATGTTTTGCAGCGTCATTTTGAACATCGGGCTGTAGAACGAGACAAGACAGAGGCAGTAGCCGAATATGGACGCGACGACCAAGGACCAGCGCGTCGTGGTCTGACCGCGGAGACCCAGCAACTGCGGCAGGAAGGTTGAGTCAGCTATCGCATGTTCTCTTGTACTGAGGATGATGTCACTTTGGCTCAAAAGATCCATGTCCGAAGTACTTCAAATGTCCCTGTGACTGCTGGCGTTTGTGAAACAGCTTAAACCCGCGAAGCCCCGCTGCATGCGGATGTGCAGTCGCCCTTGCCGGTTAACTCAGGGAATGGGTCAGAATATTCGGAATGCATGACTCTGTGGTATCTACCTGCATCAACCTTGACAAAGCAATCCGTCCCATCGCTTGTCAAGGTTGTTGGCAATTCTCGAAGTACGACCTGGTCGTTACGATGCAACGTGCCTAAAAATATCGATGGTTTCACTTGAGCGAAATACAGCTCCACGCCGCCAGGAGCATCGCTAAACCCTTATCACGATGGCCAAGGACAAGGCTGCCATTGCACCGACGAAGGGCCCCCCAGCTATTCTCAAAGAAGCGACAACCCTTAGTCCACTGTCCCCGATAGCACCCGACACGCCAGCCGGTCCAGGACCTGCGACAGTTCCGGCAACAACGAGCAACGGATGCCACATCGTCGACGTCAAAGAAATCGTGGTCGATCCGAGCGACCAGGCCACGGCCATCCACGTCTGGGCGTTGGGGGTCGTGTCCGTGATCGGAGGACAGTTCTATGGCTGGAACGAGTCGTTCAAAGTGGGGTTTTTGCCCTACTTCATCTCGCAACTGTTCATGGGGGTCGCGTACGTCATTTACGTGTCGTGCATCGCCGAGGTCGGTGGCAAAGTGCCCGGCGGCTCGTACGGCTTGGCACGAGCCGTCCTCGGCTTCTACCCTGGGTACCTCCTCAGCTGCCTCGAATTCCTCGAGTACACGTCGTACGCGTCCGTGTCGGTGGTATACGTGACGGACTTTGTCACGACCCATCTCAAGATGAACAGCGAGTACCAGCCGCTCGTGTGGCTGCTCTTCTACGCGATCTGCATCGGGTTTTTGGACTCGCGCGGCAAGTACATGTGGCGCTGCATGCTCGTGCTGCTTGTGGCGAGCCTCTTGCCTGGCGTCCTCTTCATCTTTGGGTCGTTGCCATACGTGAACTTCAAGAAGAACGCAATCCTGCACAACTTTGACAATGGCGAAACGACGTGGGCGACCGGGACAATCTCGACGGCGTTCTTCGCTATCTTGCCGTCGACAACGGTCGGATTCGCCGGCGTCGAGAGTCCGACCGTCAACACGGGCTTTGTCAAGGACCCGGCCGTGAACATACCAAAAGGCACGCGGGCCGCCGTGTGGACGCTGCTCGCGTCCAACATTGCGATGGTGCTGGTTCTCGCGTCGCTGCCCCCGGGGCTCGAAATTATCGCGACCGACGAGTTCTGTCTCAATCGCGGGTTGTACTTGGGCATGGGGTTCACGTCGCGCACGGCGGAATGGATCTTGATTCCAGCACAGATCGGGACGGCGATCGGGTTCTCCATCCCCATCGCGCGACTCACGCAGGCGATGGCCGATTCGAACTTGCTGCCGCAGTGGCTGGGTCTCCGCGGTCAGACCACGACGCGCCGGTCCTTGGTCGTCGCGTCCATATTCGGCTACTGCCTCTGCCTTGTCTCGTTCTACAGCCCGATGTTCAAAATGACGCTGCAAAACATCTCGATCGTCGCGGGGACGCTGTGCTATGCCGGCCAGACACTGGGCTTTGTCATGCTGCGCACGTCGTACAAGATCGACACGAAGGGGTACAAGAGTCCATACGGGCTCACCGGCGCGTACTACGTGTTTGTCGTGTTCTTCTTGGTGTTCGTGTCGATTGCCGGGGGGTTCCAGGGCGACGACGGCATTGCCATCCTGTCCACGATCGGGTTCGTCGCCGTGCTCACCGTCTACTACTTGCTCGTGTGCCAAAAGGTGCAAACTGTGTCCAAGGAAGAGTACGCGTCCATTTTCAAGTTTAGCGTGATGAAGTTTAACAAGCTGCGGGCGTCCAAGAAGAAGAGGACATCCGCGACGAGTCAGTTGTCGCGTGCGTCATTGGTTATGACGGCAAAACAGATCATACCCAAGAAATCCAAAGTGGGGACGGAGCTTCAGATGTCTACTTAGTCATCTAAGATCCGTAAGTAGTCGAAAGAATAAGCGTACACAACAAAATTCAAGCAATAGTGTCCAAGACAAGTCAGCAAAGACAATTGTCACTAATGTTGTTGTATCTGAAGGGTTGGTAGAAGCCGCCCCAAGTACGCCCCATCTTCTATTCACTTCCTCCCCCGTGACTCCACTACTTGTTGCACAAGAAGTGGTGCAGTCGTCTGGTGTGCGCGGAGAAGTGCCACTTCCGCCCTGATCGGACAGATCGAAGTGCTGCTTGGGATTGGCGCATTCGCAGCATCTAACGTCCTTCAGCGCCAGGCTTGGAAAAACGCCACATGTGGGGTCTTTCCAAGTGACGCGCCCCTAGCAATGCTTCGACTTGTCTGTTCTTGAGGTCGCTATTCCTGCCATATGAAACCGGTTCCGTTTGGCGCAGGTTCTCGGCTAAACGGAGCACTACGAAGAGGTAGTCGCGTCCAATGTCGAGTCCTCAGTGTGAAGCTGAAGAGAGTAGGAGCAACAAGAGCTGCGTGTTCAGTTGACCTTGTTTGCGGCGTGCTGTGCTACAAATACATGACTAGTATTTAATGCCCTTTCACCAAACGCGTTGTCCATGGTTTATTGCGACGAACACCAGACTGGGTGCATATAGAGGGTAGATCGACCGTACTGGTGTTTGGAGCCGTGTTCTACGCAAAGTAGTATAAGACTTGCAAGGGCGAGCGCTCGTTGAGGCGGAATGAAAACATAGATCAGGTCCGTTCGCAGTCCTCGAATTCCCCTGCTTCTGGAAGCAATGCGACGGTTGGCACGACGCGATCCAAGACTCCAAGTCAGTCCTGTGGGCCAGCTCGATGGATTGTGTGATGATGGCAACGATTCAAATGCATGTCATCCGAACTGCCGTGAGCCAAATCATCAACCAGCCTTGTAACCCACAAGATAGTATCGTTCTTAGCAGCCTTCCATTGCTAGACCAGTCCATTCTATTTAAAGTCTACGAACTCCCGTTTGTGGGCATTACCCATGTTTACCACGCGAATCAAGGTAGCTCCATCAAAAGCAACGCACACGTTGCTACAAGATGCCCTCCCTGTGACACCAACGGATTCAACAGACCCTGGGTCATCCTTCCCCGAGCACCAATCGGTCCAAGACCTGCGACAGTTCCGGCAACAACGAGCAACGGATGCCACATCGTCGACGTCAAAGAAATCGTGGTCGATCCGAGCGACCAGGCCACGGCCATCCACGTCTGGGCGTTGGGGGTCGTGTCCGTGATCGGAGGACAGTTCTATGGCTGGAACGAGTCGTTCAAAGTGGGGTTTTTGCCCTACTTCATCTCGCAACTGTTCATGGGGGTCGCGTACGTCATTTACGTGTCGTGCATCGCCGAGGTCGGTGGCAAAGTGCCCGGCGGCTCGTACGGCTTGGCACGAGCCGTCCTCGGCTTCTACCCTGGGTACCTCCTCAGCTGCCTCGAATTCCTCGAGTACACGTCGTACGCGTCCGTGTCGGTGGTATACGTGACGGACTTTGTCACGACCCATCTCAAGATGAACAGCGAGTACCAGCCGCTCGTGTGGCTGCTCTTCTACGCGATCTGCATCGGGTTTTTGGACTCGCGCGGCAAGTACATGTGGCGCTGCATGCTCGTGCTGCTTGTGGCGAGCCTCTTGCCTGGCGTCCTCTTCATCTTTGGGTCGTTGCCATACGTGAACTTCAAGAAGAACGCAATCCTGCACAACTTTGACAATGGCGAAACGACGTGGGCGACCGGGACAATCTCGACGGCGTTCTTCGCTATCTTGCCGTCGACAACGGTCGGATTCGCCGGCGTCGAGAGTCCGACCGTCAACACGGGCTTTGTCAAGGACCCGGCCGTGAACATACCAAAAGGCACGCGGGCCGCCGTGTGGACGCTGCTCGCGTCCAACATTGCGATGGTGCTGGTTCTCGCGTCGCTGCCCCCGGGGCTCGAAATCATCGCGACCGACGAGTTCTGTCTCAATCGCGGGTTGTACTTGGGCATGGGGTTCACGTCGCGCACGGCGGAATGGATCTTGATTCCAGCACAGATCGGGTCGGCGATCGGGTTCTCCATCCCCATCGCGCGACTCACGCAGGCGATGGCCGATTCAAACTTGCTGCCGCAGTGGCTGGGTCTCCGCGGTCAGACCACGACGCGCCGGTCCTTGGTCGTCGCGTCCATATTCGGCTACTGCCTCTGCCTTGTCTCGTTCTACAGCCCGATGTTCAA